GGATTTTGGAAGTCAAAAAGTCAGATGAAATAATAATGTTTTTCCTAAGTCTCTTGGAGCGAGTATGTATTGGCCTACTTAGCATCCATATTGGCTCATCCCTGAGGTGGCCTCAGAAGGCCCATGTCAACATGGTGAGATGACTAGAAAATGCAGTTATGCAATTAAATGCAAGTTAACAAAACTTGAATGATTTTTACTCTGCTAATAAAAGATTACTTTTTGTGTGTGGTCATGAAATAAACAGTATAAATGCATTTGTCCTGGATAAAGCAAAAAAGGTCTAGTTCATACCAGGGCCAGATCTAGCCTGTCTGATCTGGGGGTGCAGTAAAAAAAAGTCAGGGGGCAGAATGGCAACACTATGTGTTGGTCTCTTATAGTCTGTCACACAGTGTCACAACCTGGGAAACACCATTGTGTATTAGGCTGTCATTAGATTAGGGTGATTAAAGAGAATATGTGCCACCTTATATCAGATGTCCCTATCATAGTCCCCTTTATATCAGGAATCCTCATCAGAGTCCCTGTTTACATCATGACTACTCCTCCTTAATCAGTGTCATTATCAGAGTGCCCCCTTACATCAGGGACCCTATCAGAGGGCCCCTAGTACATCAGGCTCCCAATCAAAGAGCCCCCTTACCTCTCTGTCCCCAAAAGAGTCCCCTTTTACATCAGTTTTTTTTCCTTTAGAGTGTCCCCTTACAACTCCTGTCCCCATCAGAGTGCCCCCTTACATCAGGTGTCCTCATCAGTGTGCCTCCCTGCCTAAAATATCTGTATCAGACTGGCTCATGGATCAGTGGATGCACTCTCAGAGACCTGGGGGGTGCACAGATAAAATCTAGGGAGGGGGGGCACAGCCCTCCCAAGCAACCCCTTAGATTTGGCCCTGGTTCACAGAGCTGAGCACGCTTACCTTCCATCTACAGCTATCTAGTCACAGTGGACTTATGGATGCATCTATTTCAGAAAGCAATGTGATGATCACAAACTTTTTTAAGATCTATAGCTTTGGTATTTCCTGTATACTGACACACTGGTAACTGTACAAATACATTAACAGTCTGGAGTTACACTAATTGTATTACATGTGGACACATTCACTAACATGCAAGGTTCACATATTGCATACTGGCCCACCCCACTTTGCCAAAAATCATTATACCTCCAAAAAACCTCCAAGAAAAGTTAGAAAGTATACTTAGCCTACTTTCAGCTTCTACCCATGGCATCTTATGGGGATAAAGTTACAAACCTTCTGGCAAGGTCCTGGAAACAATAAAGATCCCAACTCTCCAGGGAGGACAGTTCTGCACCGTGCTGGAGCATCTTCCCACAGGATCTGGGAAATTAAGTGATACCAGGATCTCTCTGGACAGATGGCAATGTTCCCCTCTCCATTGTGGAAGCTGGATGCAAACCAAGTATATTTTCTAACTTTTCCCCACAAGCGTTATTTTACAGGTATTATGCAGGGTTTTAACAGGGTGGGCCAGTAAGTAATATGAGGACCTTGCATTTTAGTGCAAGGTCCACTTTGAAACATTTTTATCTTCTAGCTGTATATACACATCTCAAGGGCAATACTGGGACAATGTTTTTAAGGTAAAGAAAGGTCAATCAAAAAATTCATATTGATTGACAAGCAATAAAAGATGTTAACAAGCCTAAAGCACAGTGTTCATAACCCATGAGGCTGTCAGGCTGTAGAAAATGTACATGAAAATTCTTCTTGGAATAGTAAAGCATTTTATCCCACATACCTTTTGTTGCAATGATAATAAATAAATAAATAAATAAAAAATTATATATATATATATATATATATATATATATATATATATAGTGCTCAACATAAATGAGCACCCCTTTTGAAAAGTAAGATTTTAATCAATATATCAATGAACAATTTCCAAAACGTAATTTTTTTGAGCAGTGTATAGCAGTGATTGGCTACCGTGCACATCTGCACCAGATTCTGAGTGCTCCAATTTTATTAAATCTCCCCCACTGTATATCAATAAATATATTATGAGCAGGCATACCTTGGAAGTAACCTTAGCTTTGTTAAAGTGTATAGGCAAAAACCATTTGCAGTACATATGTGCACTTTTGCCCATGTTTTATCCCTGTAAAGACACTACAAGTACAGAAAAAAACCTGTTGATGTGCCAGAAAAGCAATCAGCTGTTAAACCCTGGGCTAGGCTGACAACACACAGCAATTTTGTGGACTTGTCAGCCCTGCCCGATGTATTATGCTCAACTAGAGAAAAAGGACTAGTACATAGCCTGTTCTAATGACAAAGAATCAATACTTTCTGAAAAGTTTAATAAGGGAATTAATTAGACCTGGCACCAGCGAGCTGGCCCCTTCATGCCAAATTGAAATAGGAATGATAGAAATAGAGGTTTCTTAATATATCTCACCAGTCCTTCTGGTCCAAGAATTCCACATACAAGATGTACGTTGTATCATGAAATTTTAACTGTATTCATTTCCAGAACTATAAAAGGTTTATAGGAAACATATGCAAAACATAGCAAACAACACATTTAGCATGGCAGACCCCTTATATAATCATATTAATACATCGATTCAGAAAATAAATATACAGAAATTTGTAAACCCCAAGATATAAAATTAAGTAGTGGAAATTGATTTGCTCCATCAGACAACTGGGCATACTGGCATATCTCTTGGAAGATAGCTGGGCTGTAAATCTACATATGGAGGAAGAGTCTGGGAACAATCAACAAGAGTCCAACAAGATAGCATGTCAGAGGGGTGGCCATGTCCATTTTCATCTCTAAACTAAACTTTATGGAAATGGCCAGCCCTCTGCCATCTCCTGGTTGGTGTAATATACAATCTGTCATTTGTAATACATCTTTAGCTCATTTTGGATCAATTTATTGCGATGTGAGATTGGCTGTCTGCTTGTGTCTTTGTGGAGTGGAGATAATTTCACTGTGCTTTTGCTTATGGATCCCTTCTAGGCATATACATACAGCTTTTACTATTGGATAACATCTTATCTATTTGCCACTGTCATTTACTAACATCTGCTGTCGCTTGGCTACTTACATCTGTCATCTGCTTGGTAGCATTACAGCTTATTCATGACAACAGTTGCCTGGGACTATGGCTTCCACATGATTCTTTTTCCTGCTTCTACCACTTATCTACTGTCTTTTTTTTATCTATGGTTATGTAGCAGATATGATGTTATTCATTATTAACTGTTTGCATAAATATTGTCATATGTGTTTTCACTCCCCGCTCATCAAGTGGAGCCATTTCTAACCCCTATAAGCTATAGGAATATAATTATATGGTTGTTTGATGGAACAAATCAATTGTCACTACAATTTTATATCTGGCAGTATGTGGCCTTATTTACAAATGGCTATATACAGTATATCTTTTCTGTACATATGTATTAAAATGATTATATACAGTACGGGGTGGCCATGTCGAATGTGTTGCTTGGTGTGTTTTATATTCAGTATGTTTCCAACAAAACCTTTATATTCTCGTGTATTGTTTGTTGCTGTATTGTCTCATGTTCTGTCCCCCACTTTAATGTACAGCGCTGAGCAAACCTTTTTGGCGCTATATAAATCCTGTACAATAATAATAATATTTGTAGATATTAAAAAATGTAAATGTCTGTGGAATTTCAGGACCAAGGAACTGCAGGGATATATGAAGAAACTTCCATTCCTGCTCCCAACTTGGGAAATACTGTCGATTCAATATAGCAATGAATATGCTAAGAGTAAGTAAGCAGGTTGAAATGCTGAGATAGTGAAACAGATGGCTGCCGGGGCGAGGAAAGGAAGGGGTTACTGCATTTTCCTGCTCTTTTCTGGGGTCTGTCTATCTCCCTGTGCTGTAAATAGGGAGGGCTCTGCTCACAAGCAGGCAGTCTGCTGCATGGCAAGAAGACACAGGCAAGCCACAGCATGTAATCTACAACTTTTCCACAGAGTGGGGACTTGGTCCTGTATTGTTAGCCCTGCTTGCTGAAATCTGCAACTACCACTATGTGGGGGGGGGGGGACTGCTAGGGCTTGCAGTTTGCCCTGAAGACATCAGCATTTGGATTCTACCTTTATGGACTTTGCCATGAATGGACTCTTATTATGTGCAGGTATGCTTACTAGGGCAATCATACAGTTAGGGAAGTTAGGGAAAGGACTGTATGCCTTTGTTGGATTGTTATGCTGAGATTCGTCAGTAAAGCCTTTGAAATTTTGCTATGCCTGGTCTGAAGTTGTTCAGGAGAAGTTGTAAGAAAGTAGCCACCACCACACATAGTCTACAGCTTAGGTCAGTTAAACACATTTGGGTATGAAGACAGCAGTACAAGAGTTATTGTGGTACAGAAAGCAGCAAATGGTTACCAGGGGTAAAGATAGTCTAGTGCCAGTACAATCAGCCTGCAAGGAAGCATGTACGTGTGACAGGCTGGATGTCCTCTTGCAGTAAGGGAGTTGCTGGCGGTCTGTCTACCATAGGAACGGAGTGGATCAGCATCGCAAAGGTTCCCGACCTGGTTACTAGGTACGGAAGAGGAAGAGTTAAGATAGTACATGCATGGAGTCTCTGCTAGGTGCATGGTGGGATTTTATGCCATTTCTGGGAGTGAGGTAGCGGTGATACACTGAACAGGTGGAGTGGGCACTGGCTGAGCTTGTCCCTCCTAAATGCAACAAATAACAGTAGTAGTGTACAATGACATGGGGAAAAAAAGAGTTAACTAAAGTTCAGTTTATTTGTTCAAGTGTACACAGTGTACGGCCATCTCTGAGTTGGGGGTCCTCCTTAAGGTTGAGTTATCCCTGAAAGCGACCCCTGCCTTGTCCTGGGGCATTGATGAGCATGGCACAGTAAAGGTACCCCACATGCAAGGCAAGTGATGCCATCCAAGCTGCCCAGCATAGCCCAGAAGAACCCACCCCAGGGAAGGCCTCTTATGTGACCAACACTAGATGCCTAATGAGGAGGGGAATATGGAGGAAGCAGGGGCGGACTGACCATTTGGAAACTCGGGTACTGCCCGAGGGCCCGGGGTCAGTAGGGGGCCCCATGAGATGCCCCTGGTACCTTTTTCATAGGCTTTTTTGATTTGGGCAAGGACACAGGGGCCCCATGATCCCCTATTGCCCGGGGTCCCATGAGTTTTCAGTCCGCCCCTGGGAGGAAGTACCACCAACCTACCCCCCCCGCAGCAGCTTACAAGTATGCAGGAAATAATGAGCCCAGGGCTACCTCTATGCCATTGTCCCAAGTTAGAAGTTCAAATAGATTGGAGTTAGGGACCATATGTTGCACAGATGCCTTGACAGAGCAGTGTAGCTTGCTAATGTATAGAACAAAAACATCTGATTTAAACCTAAAGCCAGCTATAGATTGTTCAAATCTTGGCCTGTTCAGCAGGGACCAGCCAAGATTCAGTCCATCTATGAGCAGGTTGATTGTATCCAAATCGATCGATTAAATAGCCAGCTATAGCAGCAATAATCACTGTGTTCTTCTGGCAGAAAGCCTCCCTATGCCTCCCCAAGGGGTGAACACAATAGCTCCATTAGAGGGATTCCCCATCAACACTGACTGTGCTGAAGGGAGAATCAAGCGATTTTCTTTCCTGCAACCAGTGAAAGACATTTGCATCATCTATGGCCAACCTAAATGTTAACACAGTTTATTGTGCTGACTGGCTGGAGCATGTGCCAGTGACTGGAGAATTTTCATATTGCTCCTTCTACAGCTACATCTTCCCTCTCTACTACCCTCCAATCTTCATACCATTGTTGAACATCGTGCATCCTGCCTTCATATTTCTGTTTAGTCCATTGATGTCTCATAATGCACTTCAACTATTTGAAAACAATTTCATTCTTGTATTAATTGATTCCACCAAATGTTTCAATAATCACAATCAGATAAATGTAGTGCTTACACCCGAAGGAAATTTGCCCAGGTTCTTCCCCAATGGATTTTCCCACATCTGGGCACACAATCTCAGCCACACTTTTCCTCAATAATCATTTTAGGAGTGTTCTTCTTTTTTGTTATTTTTAATTTTGGAGTAACTGGGATAGGGTTGAGGGAGTTGATTGGGATACTCCAAAAATAGAACTATGCACAGATTTTTAGGACAGTTACATAGTTACATAGTTAGTCTGGCTGAACAAAGACAAAAGTCCATCCAGGGCAACTATAAAAAAAAGTTATAATCCTACACCCACAGTTGATCCAGAGGAAGGCAGAAAAACCCAGCAAAGCATGATCCAATTTGCTCCTGCAGGCGAAAAAATTCATTCCTGTTCCCCGAGTGGCAATCGGATATTGATCAACTTTACCTATACAATTTAGTATCCAGTTATATTTTGTTTATCCAATAAAGAATCCAGGCCTTTTTTAAAGCAATCCACTGAGCTGGCCAGAACCAACTCTTGAGGTAGTCTATTCCACATTTTCACAGCTCTTACTATGAAGAAACCTTTCCATGTTTGGAGATTACATTTCTTTTCCTCCAGACGTAAAGAGTGCCCCTTGTTCTCTGTGATGACCTCAGGGTGAATTGCTCTACACTGAGTTCACTATATGCACCACTGATGTATTTATACATGGTGATCATATCCCCCTTAATCTCTTCTTCTCAAGAGGAATAAATTCAGTTCCTCTAATCTTTCCTCATAGCTGAGCTCCTCCATGCCTCGTATCAGTTTGGTTGCCCTTCTCTGTACTTTCTCCAGTTCCTCAATGTTCTTTTTGTGAATTTGGTGCCCAAAATTGAACTGCATATTCCAGATGAGGTCTTACTAATGATTTGTACAGGGGTAAGTTAACAGTTAACTTCTTTCTGAAAGGCTGAAGCAGAAACCCTTGCTTATAGCAAACTGTGGATTTGCCTTGTAAAAGAAGCAGGTGAAAGAGCACAAGCCTTTTCCAATAAATCAATGCGAGCAGAGTCCCTTCGCAAGGAATTAGATAGACTAAGCTCTTCAGGACACCAGTTGATGTCCTCTTAGAGACAAACTCACAGATGACTCTCTAGTACAAGAGGGGTGACAGCAGCCTAAAATCTCTACAATCTCTCACAGCGGTCTGTACTCACAAAATGTCCAGAGACAGTTGGTTGCCTCCTTTCATCATCCATGCAACACCTTTCTCTTGTGATACCAAACTAGATCTTAGGATGACAGCCCCTCAGTCAGCTCTTTGTAGCTTCAGTATCCAGGCGAGCACATGGAAGAATAAGAGACCCAGAAATCCAGGCTCTCAGAGAATTTATACAGACTCCCAGCAGCCTTCAGGGCCCTGATCCTGAGATTGGCCAGGGCTGCATAATTATTCATATTGCCAATTGCATAACTCCACACCTATGTTCCAGAGAATTCTACAGCTCTCTGGAAGGCAGAGGGAGCTATCAGACTAGCAGCAACTGAGAACACTGTACTGACCTATTTAATCAGCTGGACTGATTACAGTGAAAACAGCTAAATTTACCTGACAGACAATTGCAGCCGCACTGGTTACAGTGAGGCAAGCTGAATTTACCTAACAAAAACACACACAGACCCACTGAACATGTGAGCCAAAACTAATCCTAGCACCTATCTAGGAGGGTGCTACATAAATTTAAAACGAAAGATTCCCTATTAAATAATTTTCGGATTTCTTTATGGATTCAAAACTTTTCTTGTATGTAGATCAGTAATGCTCTGGGATCTTCAAATATGAATAACATTAATGCACTGCAGCTTCTCTCTTTTTATGCAGAAAGTAATGTTGTTTTCTGATGGCATTAATCAAAACAGATTTCTTCATACACTGTAACAAGAGAGACACACTCATGTTTTATGCAGCATACATTCCTCTAGGAAATAAAACTTCCCAGCCTCAGTGTCCTAAAGGGAAAAGATTCCACTCTTTCTGTTACTATCACAATTGCTCCACCCATGCAAATCAGAAATGAGTAGGAGGCTGTGTCCCATGGTCCCATCTGCCCATTTCAGGGAATAAAGAGAACATACAATGACAGAACACACATCAGAAGAGTACACATTAGAACATTCACATAAATACCCTTACTAAAGAAAGCCAACTACAGATTATTTATTTACTAAAAGACTAATGACATTCATGTACCTACATAAAGGCTGACTCACTGCATGCTTGTGCCTGCGGTAATCTGCTTTAAAAACTCAAGCTGATGTATGATGCTTTGTACATCACATAGAATAGGATAGCAATAAAAGTGAGCGCTCTATGGGGTAAACTGCTAGGAAACCAATAAAGCCCTGTGAAGAATACATAAAAAATGGTGCAAATTATAATGCAAAATAGAATCCAAATGACTAAACAGACAATAGGGCAGTCAATATGTAAAGGATTATAAAGTATTAATAAAGTATTAATAAACAAATGTTCCATATTGTCACTAAAGGCTAATGAATAGTCTATATAATGCTCTCCTTAAAATCCGTAGTGGTGTTCCAAGCAATGTAGAGAGATTGTGCACTCACCAGATGCACAATGTAAATGTGCATTAAATAAAATCCACAGAAGCCTCCTTTAGGGTCTGGTCTGGGATAGGGGAAGATTTCCTCCCTCTGGGTGGTTGGTCTGGTCAGAAACACACAGAGATAATCCTCCCTCTGAGTGGGTGGTGGTAGTGGAAGCACACAGGGTGATATAAAGATCCAGCTGGCCAGAGGTCCCCTTAAGGGATAGGTGGGTGCAGGTTGCCTGGGTACAGGATCTCCCTTCTCTGGATCCTTAATGTTGCTGGATCAGGCAGGTACTATGAATAAATAACTCCACCAGGGGGAGTATAGGAAGTACTCATAGTGTAGTAATTAATGGATGTAACATTTATTAAAAAGTAACCATAATAAAAACAAATATAATTCACTTAGAATATAAGCAGAGTAAAGCAGCAATATGCAGCACAATGAACATTGCAGAGTATGGCAGTGGTGTGCATCGGACTAACCGTCCAGAAAGTAAGATGGCCACCAAGCCTCCATGTGGCTCCGGCGGCTTAACGTCACAGCATCTTGGCTCCTCCTGACGTGTTCAGCCTCTGCCTCTGAAGAAGTGTGTGCGCACGAAACGCGTCGGGGGGCCAATACGCCGTGAAGTTAAGCCGCTGGAGCCACGTGGAGGCCCGGCGGCCATCTTACTTTCTGGACGGTTAGTCCGATGCACACTGCTGCCATACTCTGCAGTGTTCATTGTGCTGCATATTACTGCTTTACTCTGCTTTTATTCTAAGTAAATTATATTTGTTTTTACCATGGTTACTTTTTAATAAATGTTACATTCATTAATTACTACACTATGTGTACTTCCTATACTCCCCCTGGTGGAGTTATTTATTCATAGTACCTGCCTGATCCAACAACATTAAGGATTCCAGAGAAGGGAGATCCTGTACCCAAGCAACCTGCACCCACCTATCCCTTAAGGGGACCTCTGGCCAGCTGAATCTTTATATCACCCTGTGTGCTTCCACTACCACCACCCACTCAGAGGGAGGATTATCTCCGTGTGTTTCTGACCAGACCAACCACCCAGAGGGAGGACATCTTCCCCTATCCCAGACCAGACCCTAAAGGAGGCTTCTGTGGATTTTATTTAATGCACATTTACATTGTGCATCTGGTGAGTGCACAATCTCTCTACAGTGCTTAGAACACCACTACGGATTTTACTTTATTAATACTTTTTTTTATTTGCACTAACATACAACATACATTTTGAGGACAAGCTTTCGGGGTATGTCCCCTTCTTCAAAGTCCAAACAGTACTATTACAAATCACAAAGTTTAAGCAGAATGTTACATATTGACTGCTCGATTGTCTGTTTATTCATTTGGATTCTATTTTGCATTATAATTTGCACCATTTTTATAGCGCTGCACTATTTTTTTGTACATCACATGGCAGTGCTATTCATTTAGAATGGAAAGCTAAAATACACGTACAGTTACTGCTGACATACAATGAACATGTCATGACTTGATGTGTGCTGCATTGCCAAAAATGGTTCAGGTGTGAATTTTCATGTGTTGAGGTGAGCTGCCATGCAATTCAAAATGAATGTGCTGCCTTAATGCAGCAGGCTTAATGCACAAAACTGAGCTTGTCAACATCAGGGGGTAC